TAGGTGCATGACGAGATTATGCAACCTAGGTGCCCTTCCACTTGGGCCAATGCTCTACTTAGCCCAATAGATCCCATAATGTTCACGGCCATTCACCATATCTCTAGGAATTAAAGCCCTAAATTCTAAGTACCCCAAAATACAAGGGCAAAATAAAAATACAAAGAAAAATAAATCCTAAATTCTAAGTACCCCAAAATACAAGGGTAAAATGGGAAATTAAAGACAAGGGCAAAATAGGAATAAAAATAAATTCAATGTTAACAAGGCTTAGGAGAATGATCAATATTCTATAGCCATAAGAAGCATGTCTCTAGGGGTGTTAGCTCCCCTATCCTCTTCCAATCTCTTAACCATGGACCTAGTGATGGGTCCCACATGAAGCTCCAAGGATGGTCTTCCATCAGTGGATACTTTGTACCAATCTCATAGTTACTTCCTCCTCCCCAAAAGAAAAAGAGGTGAGGAATTGAGAGAATGGTCTGAAATCACCCACTAATCTTTTTCAATCTCTTTATTTTTCTTGTTAAGTTATAGCTAACAAGAACTTTAAATTGTTTGAAGATATTTAGATTTTCTGAATTTTGTTTTATAAAATAAATCCAAGTATATTTGCTATAATGCATCAATGAATGAGCATAGTAATGATATCCTTTGGAAAATTGCACTTGGGATGGATCCCACAAATCGCAAAAATCAATGGTAAAGGTTTAAACTTCAAAGTATATGGAGGAAGATGGGTGAAATGGTAGTTTATGAGACTTGCTCTTGTAGCATGCTACATAAAAATCCACTTTCGTTTTTTTAGAATTTAAAATTTTGCATATTTCAAAACATTGGAGAGTATAATTGAATTGGGATGGCCATTCTTATTGTCCCACAGAAAACAAGGTGGTGTGTGTGTGGATACAGTGGGAAATCTATCCATGCTATGCGTTGTAGGTGTAATATATTTGTAGTCTAAAGGTCTAGCAAGAGTTGACTTAGAGTGAGTGCTTGACAAAAATCAATGAAGCTTTCAAGCTAGTTTAGTATCTTGAATGTCACCAAAATTAGTCATATCATGTGTATTTAGCTTCGATGTTGGATTTTGCCATTGTATTCTTCTTCTTGCTACTGCTGTTGGCCACACTGCCTCTCCTGTTTCTACGGCATCTGGTGCTACCCCTTCTGATAGTTCTGGCTCTGGACCTCCAGCTCTCTTCAATGACTTCCTTAAATTGTATGAGGAACGTCAAGCTTCTAATTCCACTGCTTCTGTTGCGCACACAGGCCCTTCATTTGTTGGTCTCACTCACTCCACCTCTCTTGGCCCTTGGGTCCTAGATTCTGGTGCTACTGATCATATTTCTGGTAATCGGTCTCTTTTCTCCTCTCTTTCTACCTCTGCTTATTTACCCTCTATCACTATGGCTAATGGCTCTCGCGCCACATCTCATGGTGTTGGTACTGTCCATCTTTCTCCTTCTCTCTCCATTGACAATGTCCTTTATGTCCCAGAGTCTCCCTTTAATTTATTATCCCTTAGTCGTCTTACTCGCTCTCTTGATTGTCTTGTCTCTTTTACTAAAGATTCTGTTTTCTTACAGGACTGGAGTTCGGGACGGATGATTGGCACCGGATGTGAGTCTCATGGCCTTTATCACCTACGCACCTCTGCTCCTGTTGGTTTGGTGGCGGATTCCCCTTCCCTCATCCATGCTCAATTGGGTCATCCTAGTCTGGCCAAGCTTCAACACCTTGTACCATGTCTATTTAAGTTGTCTCATTTGTCGCGTGAGTCGTGTCAGTTAGGCAAACATAGTCGTAGTTCCTTTTCTCCGAGTGTCCCCAACGAGCGTTGTCTCCTTTTGCTTTAGTTCACTCGCACCCTCTTACTTCATGGTCACGTTCCTCAACCTTTTTGGGGTGATGCTGTTCTCATCGCATGCTATCTCATCAATCGAATGCCATCTTCTGTCCTCAACAATCAAATACCTCACTCTATTTTATTTCCCACTCAACCTCTCCACCCTCTACCTCTTTCGCGTCTTTGGATCTACATGTTTTGTCCATAATCACAGTCCTGGTCTTGACAAACTCTCCGCTCGGTCTCACAAATGTGTCTTTTTTAGGGTATCCTAGGTCTCACAAATGTGTCTTTTTAGGGTATCCTAGGGAGTGTTAGATATAGTTTTATCTTATGGGCCTAGGCCCACTACTTGTATATAAACACATCTTTTGCTTTGCAATACACAAGGAATATGTTCTCTCCATTCACCATTATTCTCAACACCTCCAATAAAAACGCAATATTGAGTAGTGGATCTCCTATCTAATGATAACTTACCCAATCCGCATCAAAATAACATAATTTTGGCATTGCTTTTATCTTCATATAATAGTTCAAGTCATGGTGCATTTTCTATATAGAAAAGAATACGAACAATAACATCCCAAATCCAATGACTATCACAACTTCACAAGGGGCATTTAGAAATCGACTTACAATACTTATTGCAAATGTGATATTAGGCATAGTAGTCAATAGCGGCCGGAGCGGCCGCTATCGCTGCGCTCCGGAGCGAAGCGGCCTCACCCCGCAATCTGGCTGCTGGAGCGGAGCGGCGGAGCGGCCTCACCCCGCAATCTGGCTGCTGGAGCGGCCGCGTCGGAGGCGGAGCGGAGCGGCCCAAATCGCGGAATCGCGGCGCGATTTCAGACTTACCCTTCATTAAGGGTAAGTCGGTCTTTTCAATGGGGTTTTTTTGCCCTAATCCTCCCTTTCCCTCTCGCGATTTCAGACTCATCCAAACCAAACCCCTCCTTTCGTCTCTCCCTTTCTTCTTCTCTGGCTATCGTGCATGCAGCGTGCAGCTCCAACGAACTCCGGCTCCGACGCACCTCCATCGCCGACGCGCCTCCAGCTCCGACGCACCTCGGACTCCGACACGCCTCCAGGTCCGACGCAGCTCCGACGTGGCGAAAGCTCCGACGCGCGTTTGTCTTCTATTCTCCTTCTATTCTCCTTCGAGGATGCCTTTTATGCAACATACAACATATTTTTTTTAATTATTTATTAAATTATTTCAACTGATTTTTTTTTAATTTCTGATTTAATTTAATTGAACAAAATTTATTTTTAAATTCTGATTAAATTTAATTCAACAAATTTTATTTTTAAATTCTGATTAAATTTAATTCAGCAAATTTAATTTTTAATTTCTAATTAAATTTAATTCAGAAAAATTTATTTTTAATTTCTGATTAAATTTAATTCAGAAAATTTTATTTTTAATTTCTGATTAAATTTAATTCAGCAAATTTTATTTTTAATTTCTGATTAAATTTAATTCAGAAAATTTTATTTTTAATTTCAGAAAATTCTATTTCTATTTCAGCAGCATATTTTTTTTAATTTCTGATTCTATTATATTTTTATTAGGCTGTCTTTGTCTTTGATAATCAGTTTAATCATGAGCCAACCAATCTCTGCTGGAACTGAAACTAATCCCAATTCTGGTCCCACTCCTAGAACAGAAATGTTTAAGCCCACTGGTGACAATATTGATGTCTTTTGGAAGTGGAACAGCTTAAAAGACAAAAATAATAGGATAGGTCTAGTGATAGTTAGATAGTTAAGATTGCACACAAGACATCAATATCTTCCTAAGTCTTTCAATAGCCCCTCTTCCACCACCACCACCCCCCTAACTCCTCGTGAGAGGCTTGACACTGGGATCCATAGGAGTATTGTAGAGATGACAATTAGGCATACCCGTCGCAAACAAAAAGTTTAGAGCATATTTTTGTTGGAAAAAAGCAATGTTAGAGGACGATTGGACAACTTAAATAGAGGTTCCAACTCTTCTGAAACTAATTAAAGAGGTGGGACTTGAGTTGTTGGATATTGTCCATGTCATCAACAAAGATGATAAGATAAATGCATTGCCCAGCCAAAGAGTGGATGGAAAACACAATGATCAACCTCACAAGTCATGCCAAACGTTAGCAAGACACAATTGAAGTAGCCAAACTAGGCACAAGTAGGCTGCTTCAAGGCATAGAGAGAATGATGAAGTTGACAAACAAGTTAAGAGTCACTTGAAATTGTAAAATATGGTGACTAATCCATATAAACCTCTTCCTGCAGTTCACCATGCTAGAAGACATTATTGATTTACAACTGGTGAGGAAGCCAGTGACACATGGCAGCCTTAACAAGAATAGGTGAACGGAAATAATTTCGGCTATCCCCATAATCAAGACCAAAAATTTGGGTAGTCTTTGCCACCAAGTGAGCTTTTGGTCCAATTTTTCACCATATAAACCCAACAACCAACAATAGTCTTGTTGTGAGGTAAGGGGACAAGTTCCCAAGTACCACTAGTGTGTAAAGTTTCCATCTCATCCAACACTATTTGGTGCTAGTGGGGATTAGTAATGACTTCACCTGCAGACTTGGGAATAGACACAAAACCCAAAGAGGAGACAAAAGAAAAATAAGATGGACATTAACAGATGTTGAAGTCTGAAATTGGGTTGGCTGAGCATAAGCATCTGCTATGCCTCTGTTGAGGTTGAATTTGTGATGGAAAGATAGGTTGCATTGGTGCATGTTGCTGACCACAATTCATTGAGTGAACTGGTTTTGAGGCTGGAAATTGCTTTGAGCAACATACTTGAGATCATAACAATGATAGCAATTGGCAGCAATGTAGCCAAATTTATTGGAAACTTGACACTGAAGCGACCTCCATGACCATCTCCAAGTCCCAATTGGATCCTAACCTGGAGTTTACTAGGTTTTATTTAGAAGCTTATGATTTCTGGGGATGATCTATTTGCTATGTAGTCTTAAAATTGGTTACAAATAATATGACAAATATGCTTTCTTCCTTTGTTAAAGTATTAGGATGTTATTGACAATGACTTGGTGTTGGTGGATGAATATTTTATATGCATCTGTTTATTTTAATGTGTTATTTATTTCTTATGATATGTTTCTTTGTAATTGGCAGCCACAGCAGAAAGATGTGATGAAGGGACTTCCTAAACCATTGCCTGCTTCTATGGTAGCTAGTTATCTGTCAAACAAGAAAGAAGATGAAAAAGAAGATGAGCAGGAAGAGGTTGGGTTTTCTGGTTAACTACCTATTTTAAAGCAATCAAGTAATTTGTGAAAGTGAAGTCCTTATTATAACACGGGAAATAGATATTTCTTTGACACAACTGGTGTTATGTTTTGTAGAATAGTGTGGTTCTCATCCAGATTTTTTCTTTTGAAAACAATTTTCTGTTGAAATTTCATTTCTTTCACTTAGATTCTATTTTCTGTCAAGATTTCAACCTTATTAATCCATATCCTATGTTCTAATCATCACTGCTCCTATTTTCTAATCATCACTGCTTTCAGAATGAGCAGTCTGTTGAGCACTTATCACCTCAAGATCTATTGAAAATGCATATTAAACGTGCCAAAAAGGTTAGAGCACGGTAAGTTTTATCTTTTAACCCTCCCTTTCACCTTCTGGTATATTTATTCATCATCTACATGTGACTTGTCCCAACACATAAGAACATTGCATGACTGAGTTGAAAATGCATTATAAATTGTAACATGAAACTATGAACTGAATGTAGTAGATTAACCATTTACCATACAGTTTGTGAAATTTTGAATCCATGACTTTTGGTCAGAACATTGCAAGACCGAGTTGACAGCAAGGATACCAAAATTGTGATTTTTCTCGTAATATCATTAGATCCTTTGAGTTTTGGATGGCTTCCATTCTCGATTCAGTGTAGGATTGCTTTAGAGTGTGATTGTACCAGGGTTGATGATCAAATTCGCTAGCTCATAAGATCCCCATGCTTTTGCTAGTTGAAGACCCTCTCTCATCCCACTCAGCTGACTGATTTTTGACTCCTTTTCCTCTCCTACACACCACAAGTTCACAACATTTTTTCTTTTCTGAATTTGACACCTTGCTTGTTTTGAATTTTCTTTTCTCCCCATTTTAACATTTGATAGTGGGCCTTGTCTATTTTTTATTTCCTTTTTTATGTTGGTTTCTAACCCTCGCCCTAAGATCACTTTGGTTTCTGTGGACCAGATAAGTGTGTTTTGGTTGTTTCTGAAGCTCACTTTGGGCTTGTTATGGAAATAACCTCTGATTTTGGTTGTTTCTGTCTGATATTTTTTCTTCCTCATATTTTCTTTCCATAATCATTGTCAAATATAAAATATAATTAAGATATTGATAATAGAATGACTAAAAGATAAATATCTAAATTATTGAATTTTAGCAGACTTCTTAAGTTATCCTATTTTTATATTTTTAGTAGGATCTTACGATCCATGGTATGCTTTCACACTTTATGATTTTCCCTCCTTTTACTACCTCATGTAGGATCTTAATTTCGACAACCTTGGTTGACAGTACATTATAAGTTATCAAATATAGCTATCCACTGAATGTTGTAGATTAACCATACAAGTTATGTGAAATTGAAAAGCTACATTACAACTGTCATAAATCCTTCCAATTTTTGAGTTTTGACATGGATATTAGAAGGTCCATGTTGATCGGATATTAAAGTCTGCCACGTAGCTCTCTTGTAATATTGCACATAGCATATGGATTTTGCTAGGTCTTAGAATAGTGGATTAAGCCTAACTCAACCCTTCAAAACTGACTTATAAGGTAAAGGTTGCTTTACACTTATATACTATTCAATTGTCTAATCTCTAGTCGATGTGGGACTTGGGTTTTTCCCAATACACCCCCTCACGTCCAGCAATATTGGGCTTGGTACGTGGATAAATGGTGGGTGGCCCTTTTTAATCTAGGATTGGCGGGACTTGAGTTTTTTTTCTCAATACACCCCTCATGCCTATGATGCATGTATCAATGGTGGGTGACTTATTTTTAAGAATCTAGGATAGCTCTGATACCATATTAGAATAGTGGATTAAGCCTAACTCAACCCTACAAAACTGGCTTATAAGGTGAGAGTTGCTTTCCACTTATATATTATTCAATTGCCTAATCTCTAGTCGATGTGAGACTTGGGTTTTTCTCAATACTAGGAGACGAGAAGCCCATATAGAATCATAAAATCATAAAATTATTTAAATATCACACAATATTTGCTAAAAATGCCTTTGGTTTTCCAATATGGTCTTCATTTGTGGTTTAAACATTATTGTATAAGAGATTTCATGCACTTTACATATTTACCACCTTATAAACATAAATGCAATTCTAAAAATAGTAATAACTAATTACAATGGAATGGAAAATTTTCTCTTTATCAAAGTATTGGAATAAAACGTGCTTTTTCTTCTCTCAAATACATGTCTCTTGAAGGTCCACTATATGACAGAAGAAACAAAGGGCTCAATTAAGTGCCTGTTTGTTTTACTGTTTGATGACCACGACTGTGTCAGTGGAAGAGCTCCTTCTTTCTCTTGTTAAATGTGTCTTGGGAACTGAAGAGCTTCTGTTTGCAGTGAAAATGAATCTATTCAAACAGGCTGCAAGTCTGTAATGATCTCTTTTACCTTTGATGGCATGCAATAATAAGGACTTCTTGTAATTTCATATTGATCCAATAGAATTTATTCCCTCGACATTTAAATCAATTTAAACTTGGCACTTTTATATGGCTAACTTGTTTGCCACGGTCCTATTTGCCATTGTTTTTAATTGACCAAGTGTTAATTTAAAACACTTTACACTATCAAGTTTGACTATTTCAACCGCTGCCTAGGAAGTTTTAACTGTTTTATTCTTGTACCGCAATATTGCTGGATGATAGTATAAAAGACTTGATGATGATATTATTCATATTTAAACCCTGTTGAAACGAGTTTCTTCTAGCATATGCAAATTTTCAGTTCTAAAATTAATTTTTTCCCTTGTCTGTTTTCTGTAAATTGTCTTAGAATTTGAATTTCAGATACAACTCAATCCTACAAAATATATTTACAAAGGGCTCTTCACACTTTATAAAGACTATGAGTGTTTGATTTTCAGTTTGGAGAAAGCAAATGCACTTTCATTTGAAAGTTTTCCTTGACATTCTGTTTAGTTGCCTAGGAATGTGGGCTAACAATAAAACAAACACATTATATTGGTTATAAATCTAGTCCATGTGAATGATGGTGTGATGCTTAGTCATCTTGAAAATTTGAATTTTCCCCGTTAACTTTTCAGGATGTAGCTTATTTTTTGTCATAATCTTAATTGTAGTGTCAAAATAGATTGTTTTTAAGCATAAGCATATTTTTCTTTTGCTTCATATTTGACCCAGCCTTGTTACATATACCACCATTTTATTTATTTTTTCTTTGAACTTGAAAGCTGTTTGTACCTTTGGGTAGAGTATGGATCCCAAAAGAATTATGCCATGGGGATGTTCCTTACACTAAATCTTATAACAATGGTTTTGGAAAGCGTGCACGCACACTTTTTTTATTATATACCATGCTTCAAGATGGAATAAATAGATTAACAATGTTGTTTTTACTCTTTGCTGCATGCAGTTTAAGAGAAGAACGGTTACAACGCATCACAAGGTACAGAAGTAGGCTTAGGCTTTTGCTTCCTCCAGCCATTGAACAGTGTAGAAATGACACAGCTACTGGTAACTGACCTTGCTGACTATTCAGACATCAAGGTTATTGCATGACTCTAACAGGCTTGTACTTGATTCAATATTATATTTGTGGTTCATTATTATATCAAATGTATAAAACTGATTAAAAATGCAGAGATTTTACAACTTTTCTCCACAGATTCTACTTTGTCTGGTCTTTGACCAGGAAATTGGCAATAGTTAGAGGTTGAATGAATAGCAATGACTCAGAAATCACTGCCTAGACCATTGTTTATTCTTGTGGGCTGATTCATTGTCCAACTCATAGTGTAGGTATGGCTTATCCGTATCCTCTCGGAAGATTATACATCATTTGTTTTTTTGGAGGATCAAGCATTTGTATTAACTTATTTTTGAAGGAAATTAGTTTTAACCACAAACTTGAGATTTTAAAAAAAATCAAAATATAATTAATTTATGATAAAATTTTAAAATTTATCAAATAACTTTTGAACTTAAATTAATGATGTAATAAATTTATCAAATTATCTATGCATATATATATATATATATTATATTAAAATACATGAATATTAAAGATACTTTTTGAAAATATTTGTCATGCATTTTTTTTATATTTATTTAACATTATTGGCCCCCTTCAATTATATATGATTTGGACAAAAGCAGTGTTTTTAGATAGAAATAGTGACGAACAGAACTCTTTTTTTTATTTTATTTTATTTTATTTTATTTTCTAAACCACGCCTTCAATGAATCGGTATTTGTAATCTTATAGTCGCTAAAACAGTGAATCTGTTGCCTGCATTATAAACTTGGAGCTTTCTGAAGAAAAGTGTAAATACATTGTGTTTTATTTTACTCTTTAGTCTTTATAGTATAAATAGACCTTTTGTTTTTTATTTATTTATTTTAATTTTTTTTTGTTCATATGATTTAATATATATCTTTTTAGTCTCTATATTTATAGTTTTTTAATCATTTAGTCCCTTAAGTTATTCCTTTTTATTGTTTTTTTTAACAAAGATATTAATTCAATTTTTGTATCTGATGGTGAATTTATTTTGATATACTTATTCTAAAGTAAATCTTTTGATGTTGTATGTTTATTTTGTACTCTCGTTTTATTGTTGAGATATTTTTTTTTAATCTTAATACGACCGAAGATTTCTACTATGTCAATAGGAATTAAAAAATTATAACTAGAGGGATTAAATTTCTTTTTTTATCTTAAATTAAATGGATTAAAATGAATTGAAAAAAATAAATATAGGGATTAAAAATGTCTATTTTAAATTAGAGAGTAAAAGGGAAAGTAAATAAAATTATTGGATTAAAAAAGTATTTTAATGAAATTTAAATAAAAACAGTTTGAGCACTATTCACGTGATTTTTTTTATAAAGAAAATTACATTATAATTTTATTCTTTCTATTATACAGGGAAAAGTTTTTAATAAAGTTAAAATTTGGATCTTATGACGAAGAGTTTGATAATTTATACACTATTTAATGATCAAGTCTTATTTGAATTAGACTAGTGATATTGGATGGAAGCGTTTATATATTTATTTTCAATGAAAGACTTGTAGGGCTCCTTTAAATCCAATATTTTAAAATTAAATTCTAGTGTTTTTAAAAAATATCAAGAGTTAAAATAATAACATGTTGTAATATAAATTATCTTTATAATTTAAATATAATTTATAAATTGAAAATTATTTTTATACCAAAAAAATATGTTGAAAAATATTTATTTAAATATTTTAATTATAATATTTTATATTAAAAAATGTTTATTTACTATAAATTTTAGTTATATAAAACAAATATTTATTTTGTGCATTTCAAGGATAAAAATACTTTGATTATTTTAAATAAAATTAACTATTGCAAATCATTTCCTAACATTTTTTTGGATTACTTTTATAAAGGATTCCTTTATATAATTCCAATGAGGTGGATTAATTTAAAAATTACTTTTGCATCCAAACATAACTATTTTTTTTATATATATTAATGAGTATAGTAATAGTAATGATTAAAAATAATTTCGTTTTATAGCTAGTCAAAACACGACCACTTGTTTTGATTAACTATGTTTTCATGTTATGCTCGATCTTCTTCCTTCTCTTTTCATTTGGAAAATTAAAAAAATGGTTTGTCGGCAAAAAGTGTAAAAGCATTATTAGTGCTACCTTAAGCAAAGCTGCTCGTGTTATTGCCTTCCGATTCACAAGTTTCTAATCATCATCTTTTCCATTGTAAAACCGTAATGAACTTGTTCTCTTTGAAGTAAAATGTATTTTTTCTTTGCAAGAGTTGTTTTGTTTTTATGACAATTGCCATTAGAATGGGGTTGGTAAGTTGACTATGCTCTTAAACACACATTATTCCTAAACAGATTTCGTTTCACTGACGAGTAAGTGGCAACTACATTCATGTCTTAATTGATGCTCGTAAAAGTGAATTGACTTTGTGCAATTGTTTGGACTAATTGCAATTCGCAAATAGAATGAGCTTGACAAATCAAACACGTATCAACCTCAAACTTTCCATGGGTCAATCATCTCCTTTTTGATGGTTTTTCATGTAAAATAAATGTTGAAGTCGTTTTCGTTTCGTATGTGGAATCTGAATTGGGCTTCTTTATTGCAGCCATAAAGGGTCAACTTGTGGAAATTCAATTCTCATTATTGGCCAGAAACAAAAGCCACTTATCTCCCACCTTAGTGTGCTTGGTCTTCTTTTTGTGGTGAATTCAAGAATTGCCAGCAAAACCATATTCAAATGGATCAATTTCAAGAACTAGACAAACATGCAGGCAGAAGAACCCCAAAAATTATTCATATCTCATAATAGAAAAATTGGTGGATATATGGAGGATAAGGAGTTTCATTAGACTAAGAAAAGATCACATTTCCAAATTGGTGGACATGTAGGCACAAGATGTAATGTTATATCTTATGAAAATCTTCCTAAAATTTTATGAAGAAGCATGATATTAAATAGATATATTCAATATCCTACAAATATAAAATCATGTAAGAGTATTTTATTAGATAAATAAGAAAATTAGTAATAAATTATAATGGGATTTATTGTTTCTTCTAAACAACATGTTCATGCTTTGGTCATGATAGATATAATTAAACTAATCATGTTCACAATCACACCGTCACCATATAACCACTACCATTTGAATTTTGATTATCCTGTTTAATTCTGTCTGCTTCAACCATTTTCCATTATCAATCATTGTCTTTTTCCTTTGGATGGTTTACTCTAAGATTCAGCGGATAAGAATGGGATTTGAAAGGTGTCTAAAAGTCAAAAAGTCATTTTTTTTATTATTTAAAAAATTCCATATCTCAATATTGGTTTGGCTCGATCTTCCATTCCTTTTCCTTTTAGCATTCTACAATAATCTTAAAAGGATAATCTTATTTCAAATAATGTATTATACAATATGGTTATTTTAATTATACAATAATAATAGTATATTTAGCAATTATATAGTTAAATCAATCATATTTTACGTCACATCATTTAAGGATACGGTAACACTTAGGTACCAAAATGTTGTCCCATTACCCTTCAAATATATCATTGCTATATACTTGCGTGTTGAAGATGGCACCCACATCATGCCATGGAGTTTGGTACCACATAACACGCATTCATCACGTCATTTGTTTTTGGTTCTATTCTAGGGTTTCTGTTGTATGTACTAATGGTACTACTATTAAATAATGATTATATTTGTTTGTTATTGAAACTGTTCAGATCATTCAGAATTCCAACCCATACTAATTCACAAAGTCATCATTAATGGAATAGTGAAATACTTCAAACTAGATAACCATAAAATAGTTTTTAAATCAAAGATTAGAATATTCAGAAACTTTTCATGGATTATGTTTAACAGGGATATATAAAGCTTACTTAAGATATTAATTAAGTTCCATTACTGATGGTTACTTAATTAGGAAGCTATATAAACGCCAATATGGTGGTGGAGGTTTGTGTGTGTATATACATGTATAGTTATTGGTTACATATAAAAGTTGAAATTTCAGCAAAATGTGTAGTGAAAGATAAAAAGTTCCATTGAATGTTTGTTTTAATGTTTAGTACTTTAGCGTCATAAATGCGTAGTGAAAGTGGAAAACCCAGGGAGTTGCACACCTTACCCAAAATTTAGGATTTTGAAATTAATGCGTTGAGGTAAACTAAGGAGTGATTTTACAATAATCTCCATTTTAGACACAATATTAATAAGCATTGGTAATTCTTTTTTTGATTTTTGAAATTAAAATCAATATATACATGCATAATATATAGTTTGCAAAATAGCACTTATATATAATTCAAATAAAACATCGAAAAAGAATATAATTAAAATAAAAATGAAAAATAAAACGTATTTTTAAAACTTAGTAATTAATTAAATATTTCACAAACCAATTAAGGTAGCCAAAGTTGAGTATATTATGCTTATTGTGTACAAGGCTTACTATCCTCGAAAAGAGTAGGTAAAATTAATTGTGAGGATTATTTAAGATCATATAGTATCAAATAATTACATGATATTAAAAGATTCATCAAATCTCATAATATCTCTACGTTATTCCGTCGATTAAGGTAGCTAAAAGAAGTTGAGAGAAATAAATGAAACATAGTTGATTTCAAGTACTACACTATAAAATCTCTATCAGTACTAAATCTCTCAATTTGAAAAGAACATGACAAATCATCATGGGCATTTGATCTGGAATGTCTTATTAAAAATGATGAATGTAGCATAATGTATAAGCTCATATTATCTCATTTGTTGACTAACGTTATAACCTTATCTAGTTCTATCGTAATCTGGAAGAAATTCATTATAACTTATGTTAAACTTTAGAATATGTGAAAAATGGGAAAAAGGGAAAATCATTAAGTGAAAGGGAAAAAGAAAAAAAAAACCAATCTGAATTTATCTCCATTGATTAATGCGAGCGAACGAAAAACAAGAAACAGTTTCTTTTTCTAAAGTTCTTTTTAAAGAAATTAAAAATTGGATACAAAAAAAGTTTATGAACTGGTGTCGACATTGAAATAACACGCCAAAGTGTAGGCGAAATGGCCTTTAGCTAGGATTCAATTAAGAGATTAAACAATCTCCAAATAAAAGAGTACAACTTGAATTGAAACTCATAGTACATGTTTATATCTACTCTATGAATGAAAAAGTTAACATATACTTTGATTATTGTAAAATACAAGTATTACCAATTTAATAATA